CCATTCACCGAAGCCTGTATTGATTCATTAATGCATATATACTTTATCCTATATTTTGGTTTATACAGTGTCTCTGCTTGTTGGTGCCTTAGTTATATGTAATTGTTCCTATTGTATGTGATATGTTGTGAGTAACTTTTGCCACCTTTAGTACTGGGAAAGCTGAAGGCAAATAAACAGGAGTTGAAAGAGATGTTTTCTATTAGCTTTCTCATTGATCCAAACTGTCCCTTTTGTCAGTGGAAAGACTCCTTGCATTTACAAAAGGCATCTTGGATTCTGTAGAGGTTTCTTGCTGGAGGAAGAGGATGGGGAGATCATGCTTGTCAGTCTCCCACCCCATGCATAGTCTTGTAATGGTCTCTGCGGGGCACTTCATGCTGCTTTGGAGGTTTTCCGGAGATGGCTGCAGGTGGAAGAAGGATTTCGGCCCTGTTCCTCCAGGACAAATTCTGCTTTCAAATCCTTAGTCTGAAAATGCATATTCTGTGATTTTGAAGAGTTTTGTGGTTAGATTGGAACCATCTTGTGTCCTTGTACATGCATGCACTTTCTCTACTACCCTGACATTTTAATGTTTTTTCCAGCTTTCTTGAATATAATGTTCTCCTTCATCTTGTCCCATTCACAAACAAAAGCCCATCTAAGTGATGCATGGTGGGGTACTGAAATTAGAAAACTAAGTTCACTGTTGCCACCTAGGGCCTGGAAAGCTTGACAATGTAGACTCCTACAATATTGGTCTAATCTTTTGTCTTTAAGTTGGCATGCTCAAAAGAAAAGCCTTAAGATACAGCCTCTCAATTTCTGAGACAAGATGTTTTTGAAGGAGACCATGCTATTTCCCAGAGGGAAGGATTTAAGTTACAAGTGAAGTTTTCCAGGCAGCTTTGGTTGCATTCTGAAATCCAATCTGCCTGTTGGCTCTAGAGACTGTCTCCCTTCCCCACTGTCAGGCAGAGCTATATATGAAATGTTCCCCCCTCTTTTTTCTTTTAAGGTTTGAAGGGAAATGGGTTATTTGCACAGAATGGCCGCTTACTATGAACTACATTTTCTGTTTGCAAAGAGGTAACCTAATATGGCTTTTCCTGCTCCTGTTTGTCTGTTTTGAGTTTCGTTGCTGTAAGATTCCGGTTACTCTGTCTCCTTATCTACAGCAATTCCATGCTCTGAAAGACAGGGCTGTCAGCAACATCTTTGCCCACAAGTACACTTTAACTCCAAGTTTTATACCTGGTTGTTTGTTTGTTTTTTAAAGCAGCAGGGGAGTCATAAGTAGTTTAGCTCTGTGATGCTATTTAGTTTGGACCAAGCAGGAAAAATGTGTTTCTGTATCAGTTGTGTTAGCTAATTATTTGGGATGATATGAAAGAGCTCCTTAATATTTGTGAGTCTTCAGGTCATAACTGAGTATAGAGATAAATAAATGGATATTTAAAAAAAAAAGTTCTACCCCCTCAATTTATAGGCTCTTGATACAGATACTTAAGAAACGCGTGCATTTGGAGCTCATATAAGAACAAATAATCTGATAAAGCCCTGATTCCTGGCTTTCATGTTTGCCTTTCAGCACAACAGGCAGAAATCAAGACGCAGTTGCTGCCAGCTACCATGCTCCCAATAATTTGACACACACACATCCTGTGCTGCCCTTCGGCCAGCAGTCGCTGCTCCTGAAACATTGCTTCTGCTTTGTCCCATCCACATCCCCAAGCTACTAAGTCATGTTAACACCTCAAATGTGTCCAGCCTTAGGGATAAAGTCTATTCACGTTGCTACTGTTTTCTATCTTGAAGTGTTACCCTTTCCCCCTACCCAGAAAAGTGGAATTAATCTGCAGTGTTCTGACTGTCTTCTTTCCCTCTTCCTACAAAACAGCACACTGAAGTAAAATGTGAAAGAACACACAGGCTTGTCAGTCGCCAGCAGGACCGCCTCCCCCATAGATTGATGTGTGCTGTTAAGCAGTCCATATCTAGCATTATGTCCAGGAAAAGCGAAAACCCCCATTAAAACCAAATCTCAAATCTAAAAATCCTCTGAATGGTTTGGGGGTAATCAGAAGGCTGGCTTAATTTTCCTTGCAGTCGTTAATGTGCTTCAGCCACAGGCTCAAATTATTCTAATGGCTAGGTCAAGTCACGCTGCACTGTCTGTTAAGCATTGGAAATAGTTCAGCAGTGACTCTTCTGGTTTTTGACAGATAAAGTGTTAATCTAAGTCTGTGTTGGAGTGTGAGAGGGTCAGTCCACTATTCTTAGGTAAACCAGTCAAGCCATTAGGCTAACTGTGGAATAGCTGTTTTAGGAAAGAAGATGAACTTTCCTTTCAGCTTTACATACAGCTTGTTTCTTTGTAGACACTATAGATTTTTTCAGCATAGAAAGCTCTCCCTGCTCTGGGTAAAAGACTTCAAGATGTAACATGACTATTCCTTTGTGTCAGCTTCAGGAAACTCCTGCAGCAGCTGACGTACTGCCAGTAGATTAACTAGTGATGGATCTTTTTTTTTTTAACCTCTAGCTACTTGGGACTCTGCCAGGGAGAGAACTATGTTTTGTTTGTCTGCACTGAAGCTTTTTCCCCCCCCCCATGCCATTGAAAATGCCGTGGTTTCTGCCCTGTACTGAAATGTGCTTTGTGTATGTCAAAGTACAAATCCTTTGGCTCCTGTGCTGGTTCAAAACTTTAGTGGCTGTGTTTATGTATTACGGAAAAGGAATTTCTGCTCCTTATCCTCAAAGCTGCAATATAACAATTGCCCATATTATGGACAAAGGGTGAGAAATAGATTTTTTACCAGAATATGGGTTTTGGTGCCCATTGCAAGCCATTTCCCCAATTCACTAGCATATTAAAGAGGCAATGGTGGAACAGAATCCTGATCTAAACAGCTTCTTCCAGGACAGCACTAGTAATATGTCTTGTTTCTGGGCTATTTCTGCAGAAGTAACATTTCTTTCGGTCAATCCAGGGACTTCAGTTCAGTTGTACTTGTTCCTTCCACTGAATGGGGTAACTGGAACATGTGCTCCTTTTTCTTTTTTCTTTTTTAGTGTAAATTAATAGTAGGGCTTATAGAGGAGTCAAGGACCAGCCAGTGAGGATTTAAGAAAGGAGACTGCTTGCGTACCCTGTCTGTTCTTTCATTACAACCTTCAAAATGATAGGGCATATACATGATCAGCCCTGGTACTTCTTTGTTTTAAACCCCATATTATTAAATGTGCATTGCTGCATGTGAACTGAACATAAGTATTAAAAGCCAGGGAATCCAGTATTTGCCTCAGGACAATAGTTAAAGCATAGGCAAGTGAAGTAATCATGAAAGAGTAATGTTAGAGATAACTGTTCAGCTGCTTAGCTCTATATATGATCTGAAATCTGCAATTTTCCTAAATATATTAACCTTACACTGAAATCAGTGGAATTTACTGTTGAGTAATATGCTTAGGATCAGGCTGAGCACTCACCATGACTAGCTTTTTCCCCTCTAGCAATGATCTATAGGTTACTTAACTTGGTATAGTTGTATTCGGTACAATGGACCTTAATTACATTTGCACTCCAAATGTGCTCAAATCATAGCAGGAATATGTCCTTTGTTCCCTCTCATCTGTTTAAAATATCACAAGAGTTAGGAAGTGACACAGCAACCATGTCACCCTCATGGCAACAAGCAGTCCCAACTCATTTCCTTAACTCTAGGTCCAAGGAACTAGTGGGTTTAACCTGTTGGTATGGTGCTAGAAGTACTCTAATGATGGCATTATTTCATGTGGCTTGACTCAGATGCAGGCAACAGCAGGGCGGATTTGGCAGGATCAAGCTTTTCCCTGGCTGCTTGCGGGATTTCAAAAAGAGCAACTCTGGAGCTTACGTTGTCGGTTTGACTCTGCTGTTCTTTGGCAAAGCAGTGAGCAAAACAAGGGCCACCAGAGCTGTTTTGTCTGTGGACAACATTGCAGACTTATTTGTTTGCATTTGGAAGGCTGCTTTTGTTGCTTTAGCAGTAGACGCTATTTTGAAAGCAAGATTAAAGTTCCCAGAAATGCGTAGTGCCTGGCTTCCCCCTGTGCTGTAGAGAGCAGTTTGCTTCTCAGTATAGAGAAAATAAATGGGCACGTATCAGTTCTTAGTTTCTGTGTGGCACTTTGCGCAGGAGCCTTCTGCAGTAATACGCATTGGTGTGTAGGTCACTCCTGTCATATCAATAAGGGAGCTCATTTTGATTTGTGGGAAAGCTGGCCCAGTGGCTAATTTCTAAGAAACTATTTGCTTGCATGGAAGTATCTCTCTCTAATTCTAGGGGTATATGTGTTTGATCTACAGCTATTTGCCCAGGGCCGATATTCTGCACATCCTCAGAGATCATTTTTATAAAGCTATTGCTTCAGTAACATTCTAGTACTTCGGCAGCCATTATACACTGATGTATGCCTTGTTGGTGATGGAAAATGGTGTACACCAAGACTTTGCTTATTTCTTTTTGGCTCCGAAGAAGCGATGCCTCCACAGAAGACATATTTTGAATTTGGCATAGAAAACCTGCTGGTCTACAGAGGCAGGAGCTGTTGATTGCTACTCCTGCTTCTTGTCTGAGGGGGTACAGAGCTATGCGTAATGCAAAGGGGCGGCACTGCTGCTGCAAAAGGGAAGCAAAGAGGCTGTGGAGGAGACGCTTCTCTAGCTTCTTCCGGTGGCTGCCCTCCTTTCTTTGTATGTTGTGCTGCTCTTTTCATTGTTTTATGATGTTTAATGATAAGACTTCCTGGAAATCTTCTTTCCTGGCATCTCTGCTTGTCACAAGAGTGTGCCAGCGTAATTAACACCCCCTGCTGCATTCTTCTGATTTCTAGTGGAAGACTTTCTGTGGATAGGAAATTGACGTGGACAGTTGCCTCCCACCCTGCCAGCTTTCTTATCAACTAGAATCTGATAAAATGTTACAATGATGAACATGAGTTGACATGTTTGTTTTCATTTCTCTCCCCAGTTATGAAGATCAATGATGTAAACCATCCATTTGAATGACGCTGGACATTTACAACTGGAATTGTTACGGAATAAAAATAATTTAAAAGGGGAGTCAATAATGGTGGCTTCTGACTGCAGAATGAAAAGGTTTTGGCTGCTTCTCATAGTTAGCTTCCTGCAGTGTACAGAAGGTAAGTTATGTTCAAGTGTAACTTCAAAGAATAAGCTACAAAAAAATCAAATTTGATGGCTCATTTATAGAAAGCCCTGCATGTCCAAAGGTCAAGATAATAATCCATTTGTATTTCAGATATATTCTAGCAAGATGCCACTTAGGTAGACTTTTTGACTTATGATGCAATATTTTTGAAATGTTTGGTGTTTAATTTCTGTATAAATCAGTGTTACTAATATTACTATGCACTAGGTATAGAATAAGTACTTTCATAATATTGTTTGGTTAAACTTTTTGTGTGTTTTTTTTCCTGTGCCTTTTTAGGGTACATTTTCTCCTCTTTATGAAAATATTTTTAAATGTGTAATTCTAAGTCATGTTATGTAGCACAAGTGTTTGCTTAAGGGAGAGTGTGAAGGAGTTATTTGCCCTATACACTGCTTTTAGGCTTTGCTTTATCTATGAAGCAGTTGCCATAAAAGCAAAATAGCTCCGTGTGTGTGTGTGTGTGTGTGTATGATCAAGTGATGCGTGGCAGTGAAGCATCACTTCTAGCAAATGGAAGGCTGGATTGCCTGTCCTTGGGTGGCTGTTGGTTTAGTTTGTGGTGCCCCTTCCTTCACAAATGCTTTCCTTGCATAACCGCAAACGGCAAGTTATATAAAAACAAGACAGAGCAACTTTAAATATGGATTATGCTATGGAAGAGTGGGTGGTTGGTCCTCATGTGACTTTCTCATTTACTAGTCCTACTGACAACCTTGTGGCAAGTTGTTAGCAGTTGTGAGCACTCTCAGGTCATGTCAAGGACTCCACCAAACATTGTCTATATAACCAGTTGTATAAATTTCAGAACTGGGTGGATAGAGTTGAAAGTGGCTCTGGTCATAGTCAACTTAAGAATCTCTGCAGTTTGGAAAGTTATTTACTATTGCATGTAATACCTGAGGCTAGAGATAAATAGGAAAGAAAGGAAAAGGCTCCTTTTGCTCTTTCAGAATAAATCTTACTAGCGCCACAGACCTTGTCCTGCATATATTTCTCTGCAACAACATTGCAAGATCCTCACAGCACTGACTGCAGTGTCTCGGTTGCGTGGCAATTTGATGGCATAGATTGCTAAACAAAGTTGCTGTTGAACCTCCATTCATTGCCACTAAACTCCACTGAAATGAATAGAGGTTGCATGGCAGCAGTGCCTTGCAAGTTGAACTACTCAAACAGCAACCATCCTTCCCTCTCTTAGCTTATCTGAACTGCCTGAAATGTGATACTGTTCTTAGGAGCATTTAAATATCACCAGGGAATGGTTTGACTAGCCAAGTTGCAAAATATGCTTTTTAAAACAAAAACAAAGCACCCCCAAAATTGCTTTAGCTAATCTTGTCAGATGATCTACAGTGTTTACAATGCAAGGTGGTTACGTTTTTCTTAACCCTGCCACACTTCACAATTAGGAGACAAAGTGGTATATCACTAAATATTAAAGCAGTGTGCTACAGTAATGAAATGTAATAAACTGTTAGTATTATTTGATCTTATCTGGCCAGGGCGGCTTATTTTATATTGTATTTTTTGGATTTTTAATGTTTATATTTATTGTAATTTATATTATAATTACTTCTATTTATTGTTGTAAGCCGCCCCGAGGCTTCGGCGAATGGGGCGGCATAAAAATGTTTTAATAAATAAATAAAAAATAAATAAACTATTGGATCTGGACCAGCATGGCTTATATTTGATACCTTTTTCTGACAGTTACAGTGCAATCCTCTGCATTGTAGATAGGAAAAGTCCTACAACTACCAACATTTTCCAACTAAACCAAGTGATTAAAGTAATTTACTCTTTATCAGCCCTGCCTTTCTCCCAGGGCTGTTACATAAATTGCAATAGACCCATTATGTTGCCTTGAGATCCTTGGAAGAAGGAAGAATAATTAATAATATATGTATCTAACAATCTGATCTTACGCATATTTATTCAGACATTCCATTGAATTTAGTGGGCCCTGTTTCCAAGTTAGTATGCATGAGATTGACAGTGTTCAGGGCTTTAGTTCTCTGCCAAAATGCTGAAAAATTTTAAGAATATTGAGCTTATAGATCATAATAGGGATTCTCACAGTTATTTTATTCTAAGACTTCAGAGCACCCCAAAAATACTGCTGTTAAAGATCTGTGAATACTGTGTAGTCACTGTTCTACATAAAGAATCCTTGGTTCTGCTCTTTTGTCAGTATCACAGTTCATCCCAGTCTAGCTTTCACCATCATGCACTGGGGAAGAATACAGAGATCTACTAGTTCTGTGGATGAAGTGTCAGCCCCTGCAGAGAAGTGAAGGGCACAGGATGCCAAGGGATTTGTTCCCAGATCCATCTCCCTAAAGTGTGCTGAAGAATAAACACCAGTGTTTACTTCCATGAATATCTTGCAGAAAGCTTTTACATTTGATATCTATTTAGTTTAATGTTGGCTCTGTTCTAAGACACGGCTCATGGGCTTGAATAGGATTTTTAAAAAGCGTAGTAGCAACTCCAATTTAGATTTCACGGAATGTAGACCAGCAATCTCTCTCAGGGGACATTGCCCTTCGAAAGCTTGGTTTGCCTGACCAACTTTTAAAATCTTCTTTCTCCCTCACCCCCACTACTCAGTTGGTAGAATTTTGGAAGGCCAATTCTGACCAGAAGTGTACAGTTCTCACTTGTGGTTTCGTTAAATGACAAGGTATGATATGCTAAAGTAATTTGTATATATTGCTGGCCATCTTGTCTTTAATAGTGGATGAAATTTTATATTCCTGTGGAAGCGCAGTTTACATGAGAAGGGATGACCTTGTTAAAGGCACCATTTACGAAGTAAAGAAGTTAGAAGTGTATTAGGTGCTTAGATGCCTACATGTAATTAGTAGCTGCCCTGAAGAATGACTGTTCATAGATGTCCAAAACAAAACCATTTTATGATTGTTCTAGTATTTTAAAGGTGTTTCCTATTACTAGAACAGCATTAGAAAGATAGGAAGCTGAGTTATACTATGTCAAACTGTTTATCCAACCAGTACCGTCTACTCAGGATAACAGAGGCATTGGATGGTCCCAGGTTTTGAACTTACCCTTTTTCCACTACCTGCAATTTAAACATGGGAATTTAACATGGGACCCTGATCTTTGTAGGCTCCTTCCCATTTCAGTGGATAAGTGCAATGAACAGAGGATGTCATATAGGTCATTTTCTTCTGCTGAAAGAAATGGAAAGATAATCAACATAGCAGATCTCAACGTAGTCATGAAGGTTCCTGAAGCCAGAACAAATATCTGAACGGGTGAAAATATGGCTAGCTTTTTATTTTAGAGTTTCACTGCTGCAGAAAAAACCCTGTTTTATCTTAGTGATACTTTGATAAATATTTGAGCTTAGCATCAAGTAGTGTAGATAAGATCTGTAAGAAGAAAGAAAAAAGATCAAACTCAAGCTGTTTAACAAGCAATATTTAGTAAGGAGAATCTCATCTGTATAGTATATGGAAGGGGGTAAAAGCAACATGATGAATTTCTACCATCTTCAAACTAATTTTTGTTTCCATTTGTAGCTTTTCAAATTCATGTTGTTTTCATCTCTTTTATTGCTTTTAGTAGCCAGTGGATGCCAGAGGCAATACTTCATACTTCAGCACTGAATTCTTTCTAAAAAGCCTACAGTTCTCACTTAAAACTGAGAAAAAATTGGGGAGAGGAGACTGGATGGAACCACATTAATTACAAATTCTTAAAATGAATCAAATATTGTGGTTCTCTATTATGGAAAGAAATACTAATACTTGGTAGCTTCAAACCAAGGCAGAAAAAGAAATGTCTTTATTAGATATTCTTGCAGGTGTTCTTTCTGCTTAACAAATGTGTAATAGACTCGGGAATGGCTGTTCTGTACCATACAAAAAAATGTGAAAAAGCAACAGGGCAAAGGTGAATATGGGTAAAATTGTGTTGAGGTGGATATGAAGGAGAAATCTTTTCTAATTAAACACAGTTTAAGGAATTGGGGTATTGTATCTGGTACAGTTAAAGAAGGGCAGAAAGTAAGAACTGTATGTTACAAGCAAGAGCAACCCTGACATGCAGGCTGTTTATGAAGAGACCCTTCATTTGCTAGTATTTAATTGCCTATTTTCATTACATTACAACTGGGCAGTGAACTTCTCTCTCGAGTCGCCAGTTCAAGACTTGCCACAAACTTGACTCTTACACTTGCACCTTCAAAGGTCCATAAAGAAAAGACAAGTCAAAGGAGGAAGGCTCATTGGCCCAGGGTCAATCAGATAATCATTCATTTGAACCTGGGTTTTCTTTGAAGTGTTTCACTTTGTGCACTACACCCTTCTATATCCTAATTATTAAAGCATAAACCAAACTTTGAATTTTGGACTTCATTTCCTAGTTGTCATTAATAAAATGAGAGACTATTATAAATGTTAAAGTAGGTATTTAAATATTTGCAATAAAAACATGTGCTGAATCCCAGGGTGTTATCTGTACGTTTTTGAAAGCATTCAGTCTTTATTTTTTATGTTCGCTTTATGGGAAGTCTTGCTCTGATAAAACTAAATATATGAAAGAAGGGGAGAAAAAGCCTTTTTATAACATGCCAGAAAACTGCCTAGGGGTGGAGAATATGATGATCCTGACAATTTCAGTTTGTGAGCTGTCATTATTTATGCTTCCCTGAAGCAAATGATATTTAGGGCCTTAAATAGACATCTTTTGCCATTGGTCTTCAAAGTATATATTATATACAACTTTGCTCATAATTTGAGTTCCACCATTCTGAATCTTGAATTAAAGGGGACAGCATAACTTTAGTTTTTAGTGCTAGGCCATATGTTAGGTGGCTGTAGTCCTCTAAAGCATCGCTTCATTTTACCTCTTTCTATTGTGATGACTGAGTTCAGTTTCTCCAGGAATAGTTCCATGAGCAATCCTTAGGATGAACTTGAATCAACTTAACTACCTTGGTTA